AAAAAAATTTGTTCCGAATGAGTGCTAGAATACAAAAACACAAAAAACTAACTTTCCATAAGAGGATATGATCGGCTGAACATCCAATACCAGCAGCAATCCACTGCATTAGTTGTCCCATTGTCCATGTCTAAACAAAAACACACACTAATCTAATGCAATATGAGTTTAGGCGATGGTGAAGATTCATAAAATCAAAATGATATAAAAGATTTCGAGGTTAGGTATTATCTCATTGATATGAGATTCTACAGATCTCGATTTGCAAGATTCCACATAAGCTGTAAGACGACCACATACAGAATATTCGGGATGAAAACTCGTCTGTCCTCCAGATACAGTGAAATTCAAAAAAAATCACCTGGCTTATTTCACCCATTACTGGGTCAAATTGCTCAATAAGTGGTGTGCCAAAACCTTCCGGATTCTGCAGTGCTTCAACAAGCATTGTATTGTATTTTGTCGTATAGTAAAGATGGGCATTATTCTCAGTGGTGGATTTGTCGGCTCGCTCAAACACAAGCAATGCACCGTCCACCAAATCCACAACCGTATGGTCCTGCGATATAATATCATCAACGCACAGAGGACGCATTCGCTCTGGCGCTATCTCCTGAAATTCAAATGCTATCTGTGTCACATTTCCCACTGCCATTTGTAGTCGGTAAATATTTTGTGAAATGCGTTTGTCGAAGGATCCACCGGAACCGAAATGTGGAAGCGTCTTGAATTTTACGATTCCGTGTTCCTAATACGCGCGAAAATTACACACACAAGATTGTTTAAAAAAAAAACGAACGACGCAACGATGTAACATATAAGTCAAAAATCATCAAAACACCCTTCGTACTGCACTATCAACGAGAGGAGGCGGAAAGCACTCGGGAAGTAGTCCGAATGGTCGAAAACATCAACAGCATTCACCCGCTGGCAACGCTGTCGATGGCTCCCTTTTCTGAAGACTGCTTTCAAGCAAGCTAATGGCGGGTTTGACCCCTCGGCACCTCGGAAAGGTACCGGGGTTGATTTTATAACCTGCTGACTCCATAAGTGCTGGAATGCTGCGTATCGTTCTAGCGGATCGCTTGGTGACCATTTCAGCAGTGATTTCAAAACATGTGGTCTGGGAACAGATCGGGCGGTATACTTTGCCTACTTTTTTATATTTTCTTCATTTTTTTTTAACTTTATCCAATCACATTTTATTTTATTCTAAAATGAATTTTTTATGTTCCCACAGTGAAAGGGGCAGAATTTAGGCCCTACTTTACTGTCCTTCGATAGGGAAGCGAGTATAAGCCGTTCGTTAAACCAATCCACATCGAGTGCAGCAAGTCTACGTATGATTGGTCAGAAAAAGTAAGAATGTCTTTTAGCAAGCAAAATATTCGAAGTAACAGCCGCCAAAAGTAAGCATGCACGATGGAGGACAGAAAGGGGGAAAAAAACTGTGGCGCAAAGATGAAATACAGCTGAGCAAAGAATTCTTTGGAGCATTAGACGTAAAATCGTTGAATTTCGCGTAATCAAGGTTGGAGTGGAAGTTATACAGTCCAAGCGTTAAGAGCTAAAGTCAGTGAATATCAGGAAAGTAGATAAAGCAATATCAAAATTCCGTACCTCATAAAATTTCAGTTCCGTATCCAACGGCAGACGAGCTTTCTGCAGTATCTGTGGCAGATAACTTCGAATGGTCGATTTATAATTGATCATAACATGCCCGCAGAAAAATGTTGCCTTCTCATCGGCATCATAATATTTCAAGAAAAACATCATATCATCTGTAAAAAAGTCTTCCAGAAATGGGAATATTAGAACTACCAACTGCAAAAGATAATCCAAATTGTCGTTATGTAGCCGTCCATAACTATGCCCACTCCTTCTATCCTCAGCTGTACGAATATGAGTGTATGTACGTACGTATATATGTATGTATGTATGTATGCGAGTATGTATGTGTATGCGCATGTGTATGTGTCGAGCTGTTATCCGGAACAGTGCAAGAGAATGTAGAAGTACAAAAACTAACTCAGTTCATCATAGGGCAGCAAGCCATTTGCAGATGTGCCCGAATCCTCTGCAACCTCCAAAAATATGATACTACGCTCGCCTTCCAGTACCACATCGACACGATTTGAGTGCGAACGTTCGCCGTCACGTTTCAGCAGCGTCGACGGACGGAGGCGATTAAGTGAAAGCGCATTGTTCCGCTCATCACGGATTGTGTTTTCATGGACCTGCCACAAACGGAAATCGTTTTCGTGCAAATGCTGCAATAAAATACACATGTAGATGCAATAACTTCTCAATTAACTTTGCATGTAGTGCGAATCGTGCCGACTTGTTCACTTACGAATTCTTCGGCAATTAATGCATGGAGTCTGTCAATGGACATTTTCTTTTCCACTTTAAGTCGGCGTGCCTCATCCAGGGTCTTCAGGTCGAACAAGTCGAATCCGTTGTAACTAAACATATGCTCCTCCAGGACTACCTGAAATCAGAGACCTTTTAGAAGACGAAGTACAGGAACAGCAGACAACTCTGGAATAGCCTTACAATCAGCTCCGTGTACAAATGCGCCTCCATCTTCTCCTTTTTCTTCTTCGCGTCCGCACACTTCTCTTCTTCGAATCGCAAACGCAAGTGGCGTGGTATGTCTTCTTCCGTGACCGGATACAAAACTTCATCTGCAATTGCAATGTGGTACGAACCTTTCAAGCAGTCAAAAACTGGACTTTGTATTACTCAGGGAAATGGTACCAGAAGCAAGACCACAGTTTTGTGGATCATCCCTCAAAAAAGCTCCAGTTTACAATAAAATACAATGCAGAAGCAGCTCACTAAAAAAAAACGAGTTATGTAGGAAATTCGAAATGTGCTGTCGCACAAATAAGGCCAAAAAAACTTACTTATACAACTTTTTTTGATATAAACAAGCATGTAGGCATTGGTGAATGATTTGCCTGGTAAATCCGGATCATCGCCCCCATAGTTTGCCTCAATTGCATCACGGACCGATGAACGCGAAACAACATCGTCATCAAATTTGCACCACTGAAAATTTGCCTAATTTTTACTCCGCTTTGATTTCGCATTTAAATCACCCCTCCCCCCCCCCCCCCCAAAAAAAAAAAAAAAAAAAA